TGACCCGTGTGTCAGCAGCTGCTGCTCTCTTGGACCCCAGGCCAAAGACCTTCAGGGATTTCACCTCCTATGCCATCAGAGGAGGCCCCTGGCTTCTGATGAGGAGCTGTGAAAGCTCATCTGGAGCCTTCTCTTGCACCTCCTGCCCTAGCCTTGGCCCTGGTGCCTGTGTGGGCTTCACTTGAGGCACCCAGTCATTTGTAGAGAAATACTGCACTGTTTTCATGAGAAGGTGTTTTCAAGATGTCTGGAAAGTGCAGAGGAGCAGTGTGAGCAATGATACAGGAAAAGGTGTATTCCTTGACCTTAAATGCATCTCTAGGATCTGATTATGGCTTTCAATGCCAAGAGACACTGTGGTCCTTGCATTAAAGAACAGCATTTATTCATATAAAGGCATATTGATGGTGCAAATGCATGATTGATAATCGATGTAATTAGGTGTATTACATATACACCTATATTATTTCAGGTATTTCCTACAAAAATATGGCAAATTAGGTATTCATTAGAGCATTTTATAATTCAAAAATACAAACTGAGGTGAAAACAGGCTACCCACCTTTGTGGGAATTCCTGCCTCAGCAAAATGAGACGAAGGTGATGGGATGTACATTAAAAGCAGCCCTTCTAGAGCTGCATCACTGCTTTGCTAACACTCCCTGTTATGCAGGTGTGTTCCAGCTGCAGGAGTGGGATAAGCCCTTAGGTGTGCCTGGGACAAAGATTAAGAAGTAGGTGCATTCCTAGGCCTGGGAATGGTGGCCTGGAAGCACCTGCCTGAGCTCTGTTCTGAATCAAGCCAGCTGAACTATGCTCAGCACATGTTCTGTTTTCACTGGTGCCTCTGGGAAATGAGAATAAATTCCTGCTTTTCACTGGGTGCTTCTCTGCCCAATGACTGCATCAAACTTGACCTCAGATATCTTCTTCAGAAAGTTCAGGGCACGTTCTGGAAAAACCCTGAAAGAGAGAGTAACATGAAATTAAAAGTGGGATAGAAACTTAAATTATGGGAAAAAAGAGTCACTGCAGGTGAGGGAAGGGCTGGTCTGGCAGCAGAATGCATGCACACATATGAACTGAGACTATGTATTAAACTGGGCAATATTTCCTAAGGACATGTAGCCTTCATCAATCTCTGACATGTTTTAAGTCCCACCCATCACTTTTTATGACAATTCCAGGACAGTTATGTACCAACCATGATTTAGGCTGCAATATTGCTGCAGAATCCAGAAAGTTTTCATACTGAACATAGACACAAGAACTCTTTGCAAGAGTTCTTTAAAAGCAATTTTCCAGCATCAATGCTCTGAATTTTTGGTGTTGACATGGAGAAACAAACACTCAGGTCCTCATCTCATTCTGGGGATATGCTGCGGCTGCTGTTTCAGAGAACGTGGTGGCCTGTAGAGCAGTGAAGCTCTGCACTGACACCAGTCAGCTGCAGCAAGTGGTTCAATAAAAGGCCTGTGTGAGGGCTCAACAAAATCTCAAGATGATGTCTGCTGTTGTCACTGTAAAAAACCACTGCATTATTAACTACCTTGTGATATGTTCTAAAATACAACGTAATCTTGAATCAGTTTTTACAAGTTTGAGGGTGGTACAGTCAGCAGGTTATGGTTGATACATTTTTTTGCCCTACTCACCTTTCAAACAATAAAGCAATGCTCTGATTTTTTGGAACAAAAACCATTTTCCGGTTGGTCACTATTCCTTCCATCAAAGCCTCTACGACTTCTTCAATCTCCAAAATCTTTCCAAGTCTACACAGGAAAGCAAACACAAGAGCTGCA